CTTCTTGTTTCCAAACAGTATTATATGCCGAATGTGTGTGTCGTTGTGTGTCATCACTGTAAGGGATTAGAGTATACTAAGCTTTACACATTATATAGGCTACACTAACGTGACGTTTAGGCGGTTCGTTTAACTATTATACGTGATGTACGTATTTTGTGGGGGTGGTTAATATATTAACCTAATATATTGAGAGGATATTGAAAAGAACTTAAGAGAAATTAAGAACAATTTGCCCTTGTTCAAGGGACTTAATTCCAAAAACCCGCCTAATACGAGTTTGGCTACAGGATAAACTCTGTTTTATATTATACAAATGTGTTTGTCCTTTTCCTCCTGCCTGTATTTCACACATCAGTTAAATCCAGTAAACAGTTAGTGTTATTAGGTCACGTCACATAACCTTATTTAAAGAAGATGTGGTAAATAAAAAAAAACGAACTTTCTATCACAGTTAAAATTAGCATTTCTTTGCAAATCTAAAATACTCAATGACTGTAAGACAAAGTATTAAAATATCGTTGTCATCAAAAATGTATTACAAAAGAAACTGCAGTGAACTGTGAAAAAGAAAATATGATTTACATAATCACTTTAGAGTGTGATGAAATAATGCTATTTCTACACAATATGTAAAATTACTGTAACAAAAAACTAATTTGGAAAATAATTAGCAACTCATACTGTCAAATCATTTAATGTATTTTCTGAAATCAAATGAACAAATGTGCTAATTAAATCTCAGTTCAAGAAATCCCTATAATCCAAGTTCCTTTGGAATGTAAACTAGTTTCCTTCATCAACGGGTTAAACGTTTTGCGTTTTGACATTTTTAAGTCAGGGAGTCTCTGTGCTTAAAGTGCTTAGCTAGAAACGTGTTGCTTCTAGTTAATTTCTTAATATAAGCTGTACATATAATTATTACACTCTTCAGATTTTAAGATGAAGATCTTCAAATTTTATTTACTTATTTTTACAGAGAAAGTTCATAAAGATATTTTAGACCCTATTCTAAACTGGAGTTTTCTTGGTCCTAGGTATACTTGGTATTGTACATAATTATTGTTATTTAAATATCACCGCAGTATTGTAGCTAGGTCGCATTATAAATTGACTGCGTTACTAAGAACGTGCTTTTAACTCTAGAAATCGAAGTGTGATTCCCGCGGCTGACGCACCTTTGTACTGAAAAAACAAACAAAACAACTTTATTAAGAATTTAAAATTCGATTTCACAGAGTGATAAAAAGAACGACTAATTTTAATGGTTAATGCGTGGCTTACAAATATGACAAAGCATATCAACGAGTACAGTACTGTTTGACCACATTAACAACGGTGGGACAACGGTAAGTTTACGGATTTGCAACACTAAATTCCAGGGTTCGATTCCCGCGGATGACACACCAGATAGCCCAATGTGCCTTTGCTCAAAAAATACAAAGAAAGTTAGGCCTGGTGGTTAATGGCGCTCGACTCGCAATCTGCGGGTTGCGGTTTCATATCCCCGGCATCGAATATACTCACCCTTTCAGCCGAAGGAGCGTTATAATGTACGGCCAATAACACTATTTGTTGGTAAAAGAGTAGCTGAAGAGTTGGCGGCGGGTGGATTTGACTAGCTGCCTTCCCACTAGTCTATCACTGCTAAATTAGGAACGGCTAGCGCAGATAAACCTCGTCTACCTTTGCGCGAAATTTGAAACAAAACTACATTAAAATTCGTGACTGTTCAGCCAACTAGTGGAGTTCGTCGTACCAAACGGTAACATCAATTTTTTTAAATCCACAAAGGTAATCTAGCAGTACAAGTACTTACTTTTTTATTTATTCATGACAGCCATATTGGACAATATTAGAATAATTTTCATTCTTTTGTATTCTTAGGATCACACACACACAATCACTAATCATTTAAAATATATTTTTCTCGTGTACCATACATGACATCATATAAATAATCGGTACTAAATTAGGCTTTAGATGTCGTATGATAAAAAAAAATGTCCATTATTCATTTATAAAATATCTATGTCACAGAACTTATTAACTTGTGAGGTTAATTTTTAACTGTAACATTTCCAATTGCATCAGGACTCTTTGGCTTCCTTAAACAACTACCATTTCATGGTAATTTGTAGTTGTTGTTTTCTTAGTGCAAAATTGTACAATGGACTATCTCCACTCTGTCCACCTCGAATAATCTAACCTCGAAATGTAAGTCCACAAATCGACCGGTGTCCTAGTGGTGATGAGGCATTGAAATATCTATTTGTCGTATTTTCAGTTGTAGTATTTATACATATATTATCTACTGTCCTTGAACACCCTGAACTTTCGATAAAATTCTGTTGCTAAAGCGAAAAGTAAGTTCGTAGTAGAAAACAAAATCACAGTCTTGTGTAATGAAATGCGTGGGGTGTGTGTGTGGGTAGGGGGGGGGGGGGTCCTACGTTTACATTACGAACCTATGTGATTTATAAACTGGAATTAGTTACTTTTATAACACCGAGTTCGCTGTTTTTGCAACCGTAGCACTTTGACATCGTACTAAGCACCTGTATACGCCTACGTGATAATTTTGATGTGGGTTTTCCCAAAAATAGTGCGTAATCTTCGTTGAGTTTATCATGCAGCAGTTCATATAATTGTGTGTTTATAAGTATTGGTTATATTTATAGTTTTATATGTATAAAATTAAAACTATTGAATTAATTTGTTGTTTTTTTCGTCTGTTTTTCATCTAAGTCAGTTTTAAATAGCAATTTAACTATACTTTAAGCATTTTCTTATTTACCTAAGTAAAATTGTACTTTCAGCCATCACTGCACCCTATGTTTTCTTTCAGCCATCACTGTACTCTTATATTCTTACAGCCATCACTGCACCCTGTGATTTCTTACAGCCATCACTGCACCCTGTGATTTCTTACAGCCATCACTGCACCCTGTGATTTCTTACAGCCATCACTGCACCCTGTGCTTTCTTACAGCCATCACTGCACCCTATGTTTTCATACAGCCATCACTGTACTCTGTGTTTTCTTACAGCCATCATTGTACTCTGTGTTTTCTTACAGCCATCACTGCATTCTGTGATTTCTTACATCCGTCATTGTGCTTTATGTTTTCTTACAGCCGTCACTGTGCTTTATGTTTTCTTACAGCCATCACTGCATCCTGTGTTTTCTTACAACTATCACTGCACCCTCTGTTTTCTTACAACTATCACTGCACCCTCTGTTTTCTTTCAACTATCACTGTACCTTGTGGTTTCTTACATTCCATACTGCGCCTAACAACTCAAGCTGCTTATAGATGCTAGAAATGCCAGATAATTTTGTTCGATGATTTTATACAGTGCAATACATTTTGTTCATAAGAAGTTAGTTACAGTATAGATATACCAAAATGGCTACAAAAATATAATGAATATATAGAATATGTGTAGCTAACTGTACGATTAATTTACTTTTGCAAGAAACTTTTTGTAAAGAATAAAACGAGTGAAAAATGCTAAAATAAGCTTAATACATAGACAGGTAAGTGCCGAAATTTTATTCACTTTGAGTTGAAAGTCTACTACAGAAAGAAAAGCTTACTCACATGCAGAGGAAGCTCCATGTTTGCCATTAGAGCGTTGCTAATTGCTTTTAAAGCTCTGACATGTTTGCAGTACTCTTTTTTGTTTTGTTTCTCGTACGCTCGTGATAATCTTGATAATTGTGACTGACAAACCACGTATTCAACAGATGAGATGACTGAGTATTTGTGGTTTGAGAAAATAATTATAAAAAAAGTTTTCACAGATCGTTCATTAACTGTTTTGTTTCTAATGAGGTATTGCAGGAAGGTTTGGGGATATTATCTTGTATTGTGTGTGTATATATGTATATAATTTCAACCAACTAGACCAAAAATAAATGGCGTCTAACATAGGGAGCAGACACATAAATTACAGAGTGGGAATAATAGCACGTATACCATAAAGCCTACTTAGCTGAATAAAAAAAACAAGTCAGTTTAAGCCTATTTTTAAGAGTAATAAAATATATCACCAGCTAAATAAATAATGTCAAAAAGGATCTAGATAACAAGCAAATCTTTGTTGTTATGTCAGTACAGTTCAGAGTAGAAATAACCCTTATTAATGTATTATGTTGTTTGAGCCAGTGAACAGCAATAGGAAAACGAAACGTTAGGTCACAAGTTATTGTATATGTCAAGTAAATCATATAATGATAATTCACTAAAATGAATAACATTCCTAACATTTAAAATTCGGTGTAAACATGTAAAATCATTTCTGATCTTTTAGTCGTATCTATAATGGATTGATCAGGATTTAAAAAAAATAACACCACAGTTACGTCCGTCTATCTATTTTTGTCGGTATTTAGATCTGATGGTAGATCTGGGAGGGTCAGGTTCATGTTTACCCCTTCCTCTCACCGTGACAGTGTATTAACACACTAGTATCCAGTTGGAGATGTGTTCTTAAAGCAACAGAACGGTTATCTTTACTCTGCTACAAGACATCGCATGACTCGCCCCAAACAAACTACAATCTATGCGGATATATCTGATGTAGCTAAATGCTCACAAAGTAATATTTGGATCTTAAAATATCTTCTTCTCTCCATGAAAGTAATTTCAACCAATTAAACTTGGATACTTATTCCTTTTAACCATGCCCATGGATGGGTTTCCAATTGTTGATTCTGGCTTCTCTTAGTTCGGTTGTGTTTAAAGTTTAACACTCACGCATTCCGTCACTCGTACACAATTCACAATAGACATTTAGTTACGTTTATTGCTTTTACTACAGTTTGGACTTAAAGCGCCTTTTGCTCTCCTCAATTTTGGGTATCGGAGCAGAAAAAAAGATATACTTTACAGTACTTTAGCAGATAATTCAATTGATTTTGAAATTCGAAGGGCAAAAATATATATAAATAGAAATAAAAAAATCTAATAATTTGTATATTTTTTTTTTATCAGCACGAAGTTTTGGCTGCTTCAGAAAAAGTCATTCTGCGATTGGTGGACTTAGTTCAATGGATTACCGAAGAAGTAGAATGGTCGCACGGATTGGTAGCGAATTCTACTGATTCCGTTAACAGGGCTCCCTGTATGACGTCATCATTAGAGAAAGGACCACCTCTCTTTCACTCGAAGGCTGGAAATGGTATTAACTTGAATAAGGCATTCTCAGAAAACGTCCCTTATTTGAATATTTCTGATGTCGAGAAGGATAAGAAGATGAACCGTAAGATCTCTTGATTAATTTATAAATTTTTCATACGAGTCTTTTCTGCTTAATATCTTTTTCAAAATACCTAAATACGTGTAAAATTAAACATAACTTATAGTCATCCATTTATCCAGAAAAATTGATTACATTTATAAAAAGCATTTATACTTTGTCAATATTTGTATGCAAGAAACTCGACTTGATTAAGCACTCAGTTGATTATTTATTCAGGTTAACCCTAAGTTGTTCTTTTGGAACTCCTGCTCTGAAGTCAGCATAAAGTGTCGTTATATATGTGATTAATGAACGACAATTAATCAATATATATATATCAACCAGATCGAGTCCTTTTTTTATCTGTATTCCTTCCCACGTGAGTAGTTTAAAGCAGCTTTAATGTGAGCTGTTATCCTTGAAATAAAAAAATAAAAAAACATGATATCTTCTAAGATAACTACTTGAGGAAATCTCGAATAATCTATTACCGCATGTGTTCTTAGTATCAATATTATGTTTATAAGGCATATGCCCACGTGTTTATAGAATCTGGGATATGACCCGAATAGCTTTTTATTTTCTTCAGCACCGAATTATTTTACGATAAAATGCTCATTATTTTCCAATTTCATGTACGTATGAATAACATATAATTTCGAATTTGTAATAACATTGTTACCAATACATAGTTCTGCCATTCTTAAATTGTAATTCATTCTTTTTCTGATTTAAGAATATTAAATATTTGGATAATATTGTAACAAAATATAAAAACTTAAAAAAAAATTCATATCTATTACTTTTTTATAAAACGTAAAAAAGTCCTATATTTGTTGTTTCAAATAATTTACCTTGTTCATGCCCCTCAGTGGCACAGCGGTATGTCTGCGGACTTACAACGCTAGAAACCGGGTTTCGATACCCGTGGTGGGCAGAGCACAGATAGCCCATTGTGTAGCTTTGTGCTTAATTCCAAACAAACAAACATTATTCACATGTTTTCCGGGTTGGCCCTCGTGGTACAGCTCTGAATTTCAGAGCTGACGAGCTGGGTTCAAATCCGTGCTGTATATTCCCAGCACTTTAATCTGTGAATGCTATAAGAGTAACAGTCAGTCCCTAAATGTGGATGGTAGAGTGTTGCTGAATGACTGTCTTCCCTCTGTTCATATGTCCAAAATTGGGGACAGCAGCAGATAGCCTAACAAGTTTACCATAAATACCAATATATATTCATTTGTTAGAAATGAAAAATCTGAAAGCACAGTTTGAAACTTTTTTAAAGAAATATTTCAAAATGTCTTTAGGTGTGAAATGTTAACTTCATTCCTTATTTGCACGTGATGGGAATTCTAGAGATACACGAGTTTAAGTTTCATAGTAGTGACCGACATTTGATCATGCATAAATATGTAACGAAAATTTATGACACCCGACAAAGTAATACGCTTTCTTGTCTAGTTTTTGTGAAATTTATCTACTTATTTCAATATTTGTGTAAATTATCCTGGCCGTAATTTTTTTTCTGTTATTTGGGCAAACGTTTTATCCAAGTTTTTACCCATCGAACCATTCATGCAAGTTAATTTTATTTTAATAGTTAATATAACAGTTCAAAAACATGGTTTCCCACAGCATTCCTTCTTCCGTGTGTATTTACGTAGACTGTGTGATTAGTGATACAACACTCTAAACCGGTTTTGACTTGTTAAAACAAAAATGCTTTATAGACGTGACTTGAATATATTGTACAGTTGAACCGGTTCGTTAAGGTTTTTTTCTTCTTCTTCTCTTTATGTAATACTTTGTTACTGTTATGCGTGTGCACAATTATATCATTAAGCAGAAAGACAGCTTTTCAAACTAGCATATAATGTAATTGAAAACGCATTTTTTTGTATTTTTAACGACAAATAATGAACTACGAACAAAGGGGAAAAAGTAAAGCGTAGTGCATTCAAGCAGCAGTTGTGACCGTAAAACTCCTCAGAAATTTCTAACAGAATAAACCAATTAACTACATGTTTTATCGCTAACTTGTATTGTTTAATGTGTTGTGGAGAAATTCACGTTTCAAGTGTTATTCATATCGCTCAATTCGTAGGACAAAAAAAAGGCACATTGAGATGTAAACTTTCAGAAAAAAAAAGGTTTTTGGCGTGCCGTTTAGGAAAATTATTAAAAATTAGTTACTTTTGGAGTCACTTGCGTATTTTGTACGATAAAAAGAGCAAAATATTTTGTAAATAGTACAAAACGTTGCGACGTTTTAATAGTGTGCAGAGGGACGCAAAACTGGTTTTGATGTGAGCATTATTATACGTCTAAATAATTGAGACTAAGATTTGTTATTTATAATTTTGCTTAATTTTCTACCAGTCTTTGTGACTTTCTTTTTCACAATTTTGTGTTTGAAACTCATGAAACTGGTAAACATTTTCCATCACCACCTGGTTTCAGGTTGTGTAACGTTGTAGTCAACATTTGGAATGTTGTACCCTTGTAGCTATAAAATTTGCATTGAATCAATATCATTGTTTACATACTAGTATTCGTGGTGTTTTTCTAATTAATTAAATATACTGCACAGACTATGAATTACCAACCTTCTATAACGAGTGTTTTTAATAACCACATTATCTTATATTGAGAGTAAAGTACACAAGTAATGTTGATAAAGCTTCACAATGCAGCGCATCGTCTCGGCTGTTTTGTAATTTAGAATTATTTTCGAGTTTCTCTATTAATCCAATTAAAGATCATTATTCTAACCTTATTGTATAAATACAAAGATGAATGACAGATTTGATAGTCTACTTAGTAGGTGTCTGGAAAATTATTTCTAAGAAGTTATTATTTTGCTCAGTATGGTGATTCCTAATTAATTTTATTGATTCTGGAGTGCTTAGGTCTGGACGTTTAGAGAAAAAAAAACGTAATTTGTAAAACACTTGTTTATCATCGTAAATAAAATATTCAGTAAAATAACCAATGTATGTCTGGTTATGGAAGTCTGGAGCTTCCATGCTATGATTTATGGGAGTCCTGGTTATGTTATATTAATCACAAAAATCCATTAAAAACGAAACAAGCAGTGACATAGTATCTAGGAACAATACTTTTATCGATGGGAAACTCAGTATTCGATCTGCCCTTTTTTTTTACTCTTATGCACTGTGTACACACACAAAAACACACGAGTGTCAAGGTATCTTAGTAGTATTGATCATGTTACTCGGGCTCAGCGACACAAAACAGAAATTGGATTATTAAACATACATCATTATGAATACACGTCAAGATTTTGTATCTAGCCAATAATATGCGAATGTGATTTTGTATCTAGCCAATAATATGCGGATGTGATTTTTTTTCTAGCCAATAATATACGGATGTGATTTTTTTTATAAACACCTACTTTTATCTGACTGAGCCTAGTTGGTAATTTTCTTTATGCCTACTTTTCTTATTTGACTCGCTGTTTTTGCTTACAGTAATAATGACTATTATTATTATTTCGGTTGTCTTAGCACACTTAAACACTACCAGTGTTTCTTTATAAATAATGTAGTTTTGTGCTGCTGAAATACTGTATAGTTGAAAAGGGGTTAATACATAAAGCCGTTGCATTGGGTTATTGTATGTGTTTGTTTGTTCTGTGGAAATGTATATCGATATCCAGGAGAGCTGATTTATAAACATTTCTAGATTATGTATACACGTGATCGAAGGTGACGTATGGAGTATACTCTGATAACAAAAATAGCATTTAATACTGCACACAAGTGACAGGTGGATATTTGGGATAATATGATAATAATATTTCTAAAATTTAGTCACATATCATTGGGTTTTAGAGCATTTTCATTGATAAAGAAACGGGTACAATGACTGATTAATTTTAGAAACGTTATGAAAATTCGTTTGTTATCGATTTTCTTAGGAGCTTATGTAACCTTAAATATTAATGCTTAGAGTATTTCGAATTGCCGTCTTGTTCTCTGTAAGTCAGTTGTTGGTTGTTAATTAGATTTCCTGCTGTGTACCGTAGGTTGTGACTATGCTTTTCTTCGCTTGTTATGGCTGATGTATAATTCAGACAGCACATTAAATTCTACGTTTGTGAATGTACTTAATATATCATATGCGGGTTTTATTCCTGTCTAATGATCACAGATATCAGCAGTCGTCCGTACAGAAACTAAACATTGCACGATACTTGGAAAATTAACTTCAAAAAATAATTATGCATTTTTCTGAATATTGGAGCCCTCGAATTAAATATGTAGGCAAAATATATTAACATTAGATAAATAGCTGTGCTTAGAATACAATTTCATATTGACATGATTTAATCGATGCTGCAACTTTCTGAGTATCTGAGTCATTGAGTTAAAAATATAGATAAAATCTATTGAATAAACATAAGAGAAATAACTATGCTTAGAGTTAATTCTGACGCAATATGTCATATAGTTACTGCTTTTCAATGTAATATTCTTGCTTATTTTTGACGTATTGATTCTTGTTTCAAAATATTTTGATTAGAATTGACCTTCAATGATTCTCTCCAAGTTTCTTTTTTTTTTTTCAATTATTCGGAATTATTAGACTATTAGAGTTTGTTTATAAATAATGTCATTTGTGCTGCTGAAATACTGTTTAGATGAAAAGGAATTAAAAGTTTCTATGGGAATATTGTGAATACATAAAGCCGTTTCATTGGGTTATTATGCGTTTGTTTCTTCTATGAAAATATTGTGACTACATAAAACCGTTTCATTGGGTTATCATGCGTTTGTTTGTTTTGTGAAAATATTGACTACATAAAACCGTTTCATTTATTTATTATGCGTGTTTGTTTGTTCTGTGAAAATATTGTGATTACATAAAACCGTTTCATTGGGTTATTATGCGTTTGTTTGTTCTGTGAAAATATTGTGAATACATAAAACCGTTTCATTTATTTATTATGCGTGTTTGTTTGTTCTGTGAAAATATTGTGACTACATAAAACC